AAATTATGAAACAAAATGTGACAACACAGTGCACAGGATTTAGAAACAAGCATGGGCTCAAAATACAGAACTGCACTGAGAATGGAAATAACAGTACTGAGAGTTTGTGATTTAACTGTCAACAGCTCTTGCTGTGGCTCACCAGCCTCATGTGATGATAACAAATGAGTATATTTTAGATCATTGCAGCAACTCCACTGGCTCCCGGTTAAACTCCGCATTGACTACAAAATTCTCCTGTTTACGTTCAAGGCCATCCATAACCTTTCCCCTCCTTATCTGTCCGAACTCCTCCACATTGCCACCCCTTCCCGTTCCCTCAGATCTGCCTCCTCTGTCCACCTCTCTGTCCCTCCCGCCGCCTCGTCACCATGGGGAGCAGGGCTTTCAGCTGCTCTGCCCCCGACTCTGGAACTCCTCCCACCGGACCTCAGGAACCTGGACTCTCTCACACTCTTCAAATCAAGACTAAAAACTCACCTTTTCAGAATTGCATACCCCACTTAACTGTCTACATTGTCTTTTCTTATCTGTTTCTTGTTTCTTACTGTTTTTATTTTTATGTGTTGTACGGTGTCCTCGAGTGCCCAGAGAGGCGCCTTTAAATAAAATGTATTATTATTATAATCAGGTAGGTTACCAGGTGAGGGGGTGCAGGGTAGTTCAGGTGTGTGCAGTTACCTGTTTGTTCTTTCTGTCCACTGAAGCTGCAGCTGGACTCGACATTTGCTCTTTCATTTCCTTCAAGATAAATTAAGTCAGTCAGCAACCAATCAGATCAATCAATTCATCAGGTCCACCTCAGCCAATCAGATCATTCTGATACAATCACCTTACTAAGCAGCTCAGTAATAATGTTTATTATTTTAAAACCTAAAATCTACCTGTTTTAAGTGCTTATTATTATAAAATATTATATTTGATGCTGCTGATTCTTCTTTCGGACAGATGCAAAGGTTCCAGTAATACTGATACCTTCTCTATCCTCTATATATAGAGCCTACACATTCACTCTTTGACTGGTTCAACTTCTACCCCGAGAAGGTACCGTAATCTGAAGCTCCCTGCTACTTTCCAGGGATCTGAACGTCGGGGGGGTAAAATGTTCTGCAGTGATTTTAAGGTTCTCTGAGGATGCTGCATTAGTCAAGCTCTCACAGGGCTCGCTGTGCGAGTTAACTTGTGCTGTACAGCTTGTGAGGAAGTTTGTTTGCTATCGTTTTCATTTTCCTATCTTAATAGTCAGGACACCTCTCAAGCCGTTTCCACCTTAATGTGATCCAGTTTTAAGTGCTGTGTTTTAAAGGCAGAGACAGATAATAAAACTGGAAACTCTCAATTACACGTCTCACCAAACCAGACGACCACAGGCTCGTTTAAATGAACCGTACCTTAACAGTCTGTCTGGTGCTGGTGATGAAGGCTTTCCTCTTCGACAGCTCGGCTGCATCGAGGTTGAACTTCTTTGGGTTGGACTCAACAATGCGTTCACTGACAGTTAAGAAAAACGTTTACAATAATAAACTTATTAAATTCCCCAAACTCAGAGACACTAAAACACGCATTGTTGTTTAAAGGATATTGATGGTCTCGTCAAGGTCTTCCAGGTCCCACTCAATGGAGCGCAGACTGTTCCTCAGCTCATTGGTTGTCCAGTCCATTTCCTCCTTGGAGGCTCCGCCTCCCTCTTGCAGCAGCTCGCTCCATCTGTGATGGAGGCTCTGAGCTGCGTTCACTGCTTTCTGTACTTCACTGATCAACAAACAACATAAAATTATGGCTATTGTGACTCAGAGTCGTGCTAACTTTGTACTCGTCACCTCCGTTGTAGAGCTTCAGGAAAACAACGACTTGTTCAAAGCAAAGTATTTAATCACGACTCACTGACTGAAGTTAAGACTGTGGATTAAAACAAGAAGAAACAGAAACAGAATAAAGCTTTCAAACATGATGTTTCACACTATTATAACTAATGTTAATGGGTTAGGGTTATATGTACTACAGTCACACTCCAATACAACACTGGACATGCAGCAAGAGCCGGGAATCGAACCGCCAACCTTCCGCCCCTTTATTAACATATTTTACATTATTATCATTATATATATATATTAATTATATATATTAATTATATATTAACACTGACTGAGCTGTGAGCTAACATCACAGCAACATGTCAACATGCTAACTCATTCACAAAACGCTGACGCTAACGTTAGCACGGGGCTTCGCTACCTGTCTGTTGTTAAACTGGTCATTGATTATCGGTTATCGATCAGCTATACGCAGGTAGCACTAGCCGTTAGCTCCAGTTAGCATTAGCAATGGTTAGCACGGAGTAAACTGACCCCTTAACGACGAAGAACGGGTCTTCCATGGACATGTTGCTGGTTCCGGTTCAGTCTCTGTGGAACTCCATGACCCGGACTCTCGGCTCTGGATCCGTCTGATCGACTTTATTGATTGTATAATTGATTAAACGGAGCTGATCTCCATCTGATCGGTCCGCTTTGTTTACATGCAGCAGCGGCTTCCGCAGCGGAAGTCACCGAGTGACGTCACACATACACGGGTCGTCACAGAAGACTGATGACGAAACAACAACATCATAACATGAATGAATAATAAACATCATCAATAATCATCATCATCAATAATAATCATCATCAATAATAATAATCAATAATAATGTGTAATAATAATCATGTAAATAATAATGTGTAATAATAATAATCAATAATAATGTGTAATAACCATCATCAATAAAAATGTGTAATAATAATCATCATTAATAATAATGTGTAATAATAATCATCAATAACAATAATAATAATAGCTCAGTCGATAGAACTGGAGACCCATATACGCAGCGGCCCGGGTTTGAGTCCGACCTCCCTCTGCCCTTTGCTGCATGTCATCCCCTCTCTCTCAGGGTATTGGGGAGCAGGACAAACCAGTTTAGAAGCACCTTCTATCCATGGGCAATCAGACTAAGACTAGACTAAGCACTTTGGACAATCATCAGTGTGGGTCATGGGAATATGTGCAA